CTATACAGTAGAGTCCCGATAGTCCGAAATGGTTGGGACCGGACCCATTTCGGATTACCGAATATTTCGGATTAAGCGAAATTTTTACTAAAATGCACGTAACTATGAAATACAACGTTTAAGATTGCCCACTGGCCTACTAACAACGAGTCTATCTCGCCCAGCTGCTCGGATATTACAGTACATAATACTTTGACGAAGTGCAACTAAGTGTCGTAACACAACAGTGCTAGCAGTTTCGGCTTTTTCCGATAGGTGACAGCACGTACTGGGTCACTTTATGTGTCTGCATTAATGGCGTTACACGATGGTGCTAGTAGTTCCAACTTTCCCCGATAGGTGGCAGCACGTACTGGGTCACTTTTCGTGTCTGCATTACCGGCGTTACACGATGGTGCTACTGTAGTACAGTACAGTAGTTTCAGCTTTCCCCGATAGGTGGCAGCGCGTACATTTATGTACACTTTGTAACGTTATCTTTTGAGGTTGTGAGTGTGGTGAAGAAATGGCTTCAAAACGTAAACATACTTCGGTTACATTGCAAGACAAACTTGAAGTGTTAAAACGATTGGACAATGGTGAAAGTGCGTCAAAATTGGCTGTTGAGTTTGGTGTGGGGAATGCTACAATCACCGACTGGAAGAAAAACCGTTTGAAAATAGAACAGTTTTGTATTGCTTCCACAAGTAAGTGTACAAAATCCCGCCATACAGCGAAAACAACACCACTGGAGAACCTCGACAGTGCTTTGTTTGTTTGGTTTTCTCAAGATAGAGAAAAAGGTACCCCGATTAGTGGACCCTTGATCAAAGAAAAAGCTCTACAGCTAAATGAATTATTGAACGGAGACACATCTTTTTCTGCTAGCACAGGTTGGCTTGATCGTTTTAAGAAGCGTCACGGCATACGACAATTAGCCATTACGGGTGAACGTCTATCGTCAAATGAGGCTGCTGCAACCGAATACGTTTCAGATACATTTGCTGAACTGATTGCTGAAGGAAACTATTCACCGCAGCAAATTTACAATGCTGATGAAACTGGGCTTAATTTTAAGGCATTGCCTAAAAAAAGTCTGGCTTCTAAAGAAGAAATAAGTGCACCTGGTTTAAAAATAAGCAAGGAAAGATTGACAGTTTTGGCCTGTAGTAATGCTGCAGGAAATCATAAACTCCCTTTAATGGTTATCGGCAAAGCAGCAAAACCAAGGGCATTTAAAAACCTAAATATAAATGCATTGCCTGTCGTCTACAAAAACTCCAAAAATGCTTGGATGACCTCAGCACTATTTAAGGGATGGTTTAACGACCACTTTGTTCCCGAAGTCACTCGATTTTGTAACGAAAATGGCTTACCGGTTCGAGCATTACTTTTTCTCGACAATGCAACCTCTCACCCGTCAGACGACGAATTAATAAGTGGAGATATAAGGGCCGTGTTTTTACCACCGAATGTGACCCCTTTGATCCAGCCAATGGATCAACATGTACTACAGCATGTGAAGCTCTCATATAGGAAAAAGTTGTATATAGGTTGTATATAGGAAAAAGAATACTGGAAGATCAGGACGAAACGCTCTCGTTGCTTCAAAAGCTCAAGATGGTAAACATTAAAGACGTCATTTATTGGGTAGCAGAAGCATGGGAATCTACAAGTGAACAACTGTTGAAAAAATCTTGGAGTAAACTGTGGCCAAGCCTAACTTTTCAGGACAACTTGAATCAACGAAGAAAGAAACAATGTTGTGCAGGTGCAGGAGCTGTTACAAAACATTCCTGGGTGTGAGGACACTAATGCAAATGACGTGAATGAGTGGTTACAAGCTGACGACAATGATCATGAAGTTTTAAGTGATCAGCAGATCGTTGAAAGGGTTTTGAGGGAACCAGAAAACATCTCAGACGAGAGTGAAGGCGAAGCTGACGACGGCAGCGAGCAGAGAGTATCCCACTCGGACGCGGCGGCTGCCTTTGATCTAGCGCTACGTTACGTTGAACAACAGTCCGTCTCGACCCCAGCCGATACATTGTTTCTAAGGCGTTGGCGTCATTATGCTTCTAAAGAGAGATCCTTTAATCTTCGTCAAAAAATTGTAACAGACTTTTTTAAACCAACTTAAGACATTCAGTTCAACACTATATGTAAGTTTCAAACACTGTCTTTACTGTACTATACATTTGAAAAGTAGGCTACTGTACTTGTGTAATTTGTACTTGCCATTCTATTATTCACTGTATTTTCTATTAATAAAGCATAACCGTTTTTCACTTTTAACATTTTTTTGAATATCCTTTAAAAAAAAAAAAAAAAAAAAAAAAACGTTTTTGGATTAAGCGGACTTTCGGATTACCGAAGTTCGGATTATCGGGACTCTACTGTATATATAGTCGATAGTTCCTACTCACCGTGTGATGCAATCGCTGAACCATACAGACAATAGGCCCGTAGCCCATCTCTTGGGTACGTACGCCTACCCAATAATAACAACCTTTTCTACGACGATTTTTTATACCGGTACTCTTCCCTAGAATACACGCGGCCTACCTACTTAAGAAATAAAATTACAAACTTCCAAAACCCCAACGTTGTGTGATTTTTATCACATTTCCTTCCGATGTTAAGAGATATACCAATCATTGTTTAGGGAATACGTAATCTATTAAATAACAAAAAGTTGTTGTATAAGATTGTTTTTTTTTCAAACTGACACAGATAAGTTTACATTAAAAGTTTCTTACAAATAAAGCAATTAATGGGAAATAACTTTGATTGATGATAGCTTTTTACGAGAAAATCCAAAACCAAGGGATCAATAACCTTTATTAACGCATATAATTAGTCGGATGTACTATAGTTCTTAACTGTAAACGTTGGTTTTTGGTACTGGTTCTTTTCCTTTGAACCGGTAGTAGCAGCAAGAATCATTTTTACGTACCAACACATCACTGTAATTTACAAATTAGTTATCGTTGGTGTTGCACCTTTTTATTACAGGCATATTCAATTTAATTGATGTCTTAACTGTATAAGTTTTGCTTCTTCTGTCTGGATTCCAAAATGTTAGTTAATTGCTAAGAAAACAATAATGCATTTTAGTAAAACATTTATTCAGCAAACCATCATGAAATGTTAATATGCTTTAAACGTTGTTTATGTATCAATAGTTCGTGGCCTATTTTGGTAATTTTTACTATAAATTACCAATCTTAATCGTCTATAGTACTTCATTTCATATAGCAAGCCGATTCATGTAGCATTTTGACAGCATTTCGGGTCATCTTCGGTCCAAGCAAATATAAATTGATATGATAAAATTTTATAACATTAACAAAGATTTCAAATAATAATTTTATATGTACTTTGTTATGCTTAAAGCATAGCAAATTCCCTAATTAAGTTCTGTATTTTTTTGTGTATGTCTGTTGTTAATTCATTAATGATCTAATTTCTCAGTGTTTCACGGAAAGGGCAAGACCACCTTAACACAAATAAAGTGTTAAATTGTGAGGTTGAGGTAGTACCTTAAATACTTTTAACCATTGTGGAAAGTAACTTTCAATTATAGGCCTACCTCAGGGCTATGCCTCATAGATTTATAAAGCATTTTTTAGTTTAATCATTGGATTTAACATATGGACCAACAAGATCCGGGTGACATTTAATTGCGAAGCATTAGTTTTGGCTTGAAACTGTCAGATACTGTATTTGCGAAGGTTTATATAATAGTTTTGTCAGCATATCTGAAAGTATGCAAACCAACTGCTGTGCTTAATGTAAGAAGCTTTTAACTGACTACGATAAGATCCCCGTGCGAAGAACGGGCACGCAGCTAGTATATCTATAAATTAATAGGCAAGCAGCTATATCTATTATTTTATTTTTGTAACAATTACTCCTCCGAAACTACACTGAACCGATTGACATGTTTTTGGTGTCATTGGAAAGAGCGTATCGTGAAGTTGTGCAGGAAACGTTATTTTTATGGAAATAATTAGAGAGTGAGGCCCTGGGGCCCTTTAAAGTTTCATATTTTACCATAAGATTAACATGGGAAACAAACATTGTTATGAAACTCCGCAGCTGGTTGTCAGAAATCAAAAGTGAGAAGAACATATGTTAATTGTAAACAGTCAATAAGTTTGCTTAATTTAACAGTTTGCTACAAACATTTACTGACTTGGTTGAAATGAAATATTTACTATTTGAATTTGGGTTGGCGTAAATATTAGAATGGAAAAAGTGAGAGCCTGGATAATTTGATATAAGTTACTAAAAAGAAAACTGAATTAAGACTGTGCTGCACTTCTTAGTAATAATTGAAAGAGCCAATTTGTAAACTATGGAAACATAGGAAAGTCATAGAACACCACCAAGGGGAAGAAATAGAAATAGTGTTTGAGTAGTTCCATAATCTTTGAGTCAAAGTGATCAGAAATTATGACTGTTACTAGTTTTAAATGCATGTAATACTTAGCAGTTGCTCGAATTCGAGCAACAGGTAGGCCTATACACTAATGTTTCATTAAAACCTTTTTCTCAGCTTGTGTGCATCGCAAGGAAAATCTACGCATACCGTTAGAAAGATAGATTATGTTCTTTGTAGATGTGCAGAATCTCTTTATAAATTGAAATAGGCTCAAAATTAAGCACAAAAATGTATTTAAAATAATAAAAAAATTAAAATTGGCCTTATGGGTTGTCATGCTAGTGTCAAAATATAAACAGAAAATCAAAACAAATGGAATAAATTCCAAACCTATGTTTTATTTACAGTGTGAAGCCTCTACATACTACACGTTTTTTGTCCAGTTTTCGACCACTGGAGGACCACTAGTATAAATAATTTTAAATGTAGCCTTTATTAAAACTATTGTATATTACTAAATATAAATACAAAGCTCCTACTTCTGATCGTGATCGTGATCTACTTCATAGAAAATCTTAACATTTATTATGTTAGATCAAGTACATAATATAGACAAACAAATTACAGTACTTACCATAGTAGTGCCAAGACACCCTCCTGGGGAATCCTGTAGTAAAATATTTACCAATGATTAATTGATTTAACCGATTAATATTTACATTTTATTGCAAGCATAGATGACAAAACTTTACCTTAAACAAGAAGCAAAGCCAAACAAACTGTAGTTAAAGCACTTCTGGTTTAAGTTATGAACAAGACTTTTTACACAATGCAAAAAACATCCTTAACAAATGATAGGACAATAATTGTGCTTTTTTATATTGTTATAATGATAACAAGAAAAATTGCTGATTTAAAATTGTGGGAATGCATTGTAACAGAACTTAAACACACGTGAGCAATGGAAAATTAATTGAGATAAAGGAAAAGTGATTTTAAAATAACAACAAAAATATGTTGTTAATTTTTGGATTGGATGTTATGTTTTTGATGTGCTTAAAAGACACAAATTTAGTAAAAAATGTCAATTTGGTAAGATTTGAATCTATGAAGAAACTACTTTTACTTTAATTTTTATTAACTTTTGTATAAGAAGCTTGCTTCACATTAGCCTAAGAATTTTTAAAAAGTAATCAATACCTATATAGAGCTAGGACAACTTGGTACGAAGTTAATAGGCACTAGTTAATTTATTGCCCGTGCTCCGCCACGAGAATATTGTCAGCAATAAAAGACATAACAAACACTTTTAATCTTTGAATTTTATTTAGGGGTTACTTTTTTTTTAAATGAAATAAAACTGATAGTTTGCCTGTATAAACTATTTATGTTAATCAAACCAATATATTAGTTTAACCAAATGAATATCTTATATTAATTTGAGTTTCATTTGAAAAATAAATAGTGTACTAACTGGGCGATGCTGATAACCTAATAAGCTACTTATGCTATGGAGATCATTTATTTGTTCATTACATTCGTTGTGTGGAATAAAGATAGTCACTTAAATCATGCATCAGCAGTTGCTTGCATATCACGGATCTTTGCTCCATTCTATGAGTAACAGCTGTGTTTACTTCGTGTACATTAAGTTGGGCATACTTTGGTTCAATGTTAGAGGGTATTAACGGTCCTTCCGATGGTAAAAGGAGTCCCGACTCTTAAATAGACTAACAGAATGATGTTGATTTGTCTAAGTAAGACTTAGAACTCGCCATTGAAAATGCAGAATTGTATGATCTTATATTATCCAAATAGTTTTTGATAGTTTTTTGTTTATTTTGATACTTAATACTTTTAGCCCCGTTGACTAGATTTTCCATGAACTCAGAATGTCGATAAGGAGCTAATTTTACCTTCACCTTGAGCCAACATAAGGAGAGTATATTTGTGACCCTGTTAGTCTGTTCTGACTCGAAATTCATAGATTTACTGTAGTGACAAATCCAATTTAACGACCGTAATTCAAAAGAGTCTGTGTTTTTGTAGGGACTTCCAGAGCACATTTAACACCATCACTGCTATTTTTTTTTTAGTTGAATGGTTCTCTACATATTTTTTGTTTTGGTTGTCTATTTACGCCCACAGTTAATGACTTTTTACCTTTTCTTTTTCTTTTTGTACTCTTCACACCCTGGGGATTATGACACTTAAAGTTTTATAACACTGTAATCCCGAGTTACATTGCCATTAAACATCAAGCCACACACTTCTTCGCCAGAACCGAAATCGTAAGTCACAGTTTCTCAAGCAACTTCCCTGTGTACTCGAAAAAAATAGTTAGGGTATAGTTCACTGAAAAATTGTAGTTGCACGTATCCATTGACTTTGAACTCAATAATTAGCACTTTTCCTTCGGATCACTCAGGGAAACAAACCCATTATCCAAAAATACAAAATTTACATTGTAGTTCAACGTATCCAGCGCACTCGCCATCTTGAGAAAGTAAAGTACTGCTGAACATCAAACACTGAATTTGAGTTCACCTGCGATAAAATCTTTGTATATTTCTCACTCATGAGCAATTTTCTGTACAACTTGCAAGCAGATTTCCCTATGTTCTGGTGGCCATAGAGAATAAATGTTATTGATTGGAACAAACAGTGTTTCTTTCCCTACTATGGGTATTATTTCACATTCCATACTCAAACTTCAAGTCAATTACCACTTTCCTTCAGATCCCTTAGCAGGAAAACTAACACATATTCGAAAATACAAAATTTACACCAAAACATACAAATAATGTTCAAATACATTTATAAATAATAATTTGTGGTATAAAAAGAACCAAAATACTTTTCTTTGTTCAAAACCAAGTGTTTATAAACAGGAACTCCTAGATTACATACTGAAAGTGAGGTTATAAAAATAATAACAAATGTCTGACAAACATAAAACAGCTGATGATTAATGTATAAACTGTGTATTATATTCTTCAATAAGAATTGTATTGACTCGACCTTTGAAGGGCTGTAGGTCGTAGCCCATTGAACAAAAGTAAATTATACGGAAGTTCGGCAAATCTATGCATTTTCCCCTTTGATTTGAGACATAAATCTTGTAGATCGGTCCAGTAATGACTGAGAAAACAGACTTACAACTTTGTATTAAATAGATTAAAGATAATTATTTTGACCCATTATTCAGTTATATGCTAGCCACTCAGGGGGGTGGCCTAGCTAGGAGGCAGAAGAAATTTCAAATGTAAGCATAGGTTAATATGTTTATATTATATTATATTTATATTTAAATCTTATATTATATTTAATCTTTTCTTCATAGGAGAGCCAGCTGTTCCCCTAAGACAGTAGGGTATCACCAAAAAATGTGTGAGAATTTTTAATGGACACCATCTTTGCATCAAGTTTTGTATTTTTTTTTAATATATCTTAGCTAGTTTTGTGTCTAAATCTTAAATATATTTTTCAGTTATTTAACTGTCCTGCGACTTTTTGCCAATCTGTATGGATTGGAGGAAACTATTATTAGAGCTTTGTGTACTATACAGGACATTTTTATTAACACAAACTGTTCAGTAAAAGGCCAGCTGACCATATGAGTATATTAAAATAATCCCCACATGTCATCAACAATACAATAATAAAAAATTAAAAAAATGTAAACATTTCTGGTTCAAAAAGTGCAATTTTCTCTCTCTTAATATCGTTTGTTTGTGTAACATCATACATTTCTCTCTCCTTTTATTTTGACTTGTTTCATTTACCTTTTCCTTTTGTGTGCATTTAATAAACCCTTTTTAATTTGACTCTAAATTCTGTGTACTGTGAGAACATTTGGACATTCATGAAACATATCTTCTGGACTAGACAACATTCGACCAGATCTTCTTTCAAGACCTTAATAATGTCAAAGTGGTAACATAACTATAGTTCAGTGTTAAAAATTAAACCAAAAGTCCATAATTATTTTCTGTTGTCAAAATTAAATCAATAACCCATATTATATACAGTCCACTTTATTATTTCTAAAATAGACTTTAGAATACGCTACACAACCCATATTCAGTTTATCATTCATTCTTATTTTATTATTATTCGTCCTATTGGGTTGGGCCTATGATATGAGAAGGTTCATAATGTAATACTCACATCCTGATATGTGTCTTGGGTAGGTCCAATATATTCCACAGGTTCAGTCTAAAATTCAAATTGGATCAAATAAAAAAAACTGGTTAAGATTAATTATTTCAGAATAAACAAAAACACAATTTTTCCTAGCCTGAATGATTTTTTTTTGAAAATTGTATAAAGAAAAAATAATATAAATGTGGAAAGCGAAAAGGGACCTCTTGTCGGTGATGCAAAATTTTCAGTATAGCCGATATAAGTAATTAAGGTCAAAAATATCGAAATTAGTTTTTTTACTGATTGTTATACATAATTTATCATAGAACAGGATAGTATCGGTTAACATATTGAATTGAAGACGTAAAAGGTTTAAATAAATAAATAATTTTGTTAGCCTCTGCACGGTCTGAGAAAAGGTACCTCTTGTTGCTCAATGTTATTTCGCCATAACGACAAGAGGCCCCATTTCTAATATTCACTTTATAAAGAGACTTCAAAAAATGAATTTTCCTCCATTCTAGTGGGAATTTAGAGAACTACAACAAAGTTTAATGTACAGAGAACAAAATATCTCACAAATTTTGCAGTCCCGACACGGTACCTTTTCTTATCTTATGGAGAAATAACATAGGGCCGAGAAGAGGTCCCATCATTTGACTGTGTTGATTGCTACATTTTTTACAAGTGGAATGCAATTAGCAATAATATTTTATGCTTCATTAAAGTAGATAGCAAGGCTCTCAAGGGAATTATTTAAAGAGAAACAAGGTACTATTTATAAAAGTTTGTATACAGTTTATTACAGTTGTGTTATAGATCATATATCTTAAAAATCTATTAACTGTGTACACCTATTTGTGAGTTCTCCTGTATACTTACAAGAAGTGCAAGATTTCTAGACGCCTTTGTTTGCCCTGGTGCCAAAGCCTTTAAACAAACAAAAGGGTTGTTAATTCTTCTACTAAAACTGGAAATAAATGTAAAATATCATTGTGTTAATATTTTTGTAAATTGTAATTTAGTTCTTCATAGAAGAAGAACTTCTATTTTTCATAGAAGAACTTTCATGAAAAGTACAAGAATCTAACTTTTACTGAGAAACATTTTTTTTTAATAGGAGTAGTGTCCTCTTGACTTAGCATAGAGAGTTCTGATGACAGATTGATTTATGGAAAGGCTGTGTTCAGGAAATATTTATTTTTATAAAAATATATTTTCATTAATTATGTAATTTGTTAACATACAAGTTAAACAAAAAACATCTTGAACATTCTCCAAACAAAATAATCACTTCATAGAATGTTAGCAAAAGAAACAGCTGATTTTAGTCATCAGCTGAACTACAAAGGTAAGGTAATCTAACCTATTTCTACTCATCTTGCATTTACATTCAGTTTTTAATATGTAAGCAAATAGTTTCGGGCCTATACTAAAGTTAGTAAATGATGACTTGCCTTTTGTACTTCATTAGTGGAGTCAGGTTGTGGCATGAGTCGCGGCACACCCTTAAAACACAGTAAAATAAACGGTATCAGCAACCTGACACATACTTTCTCCCATAAGCTTGTCAACAACCTTTATCATGAGTAAGCTGTGGGAGTAACTAGCTATGATATTTTATAGGGATGAATCACAAAAGTTGCAATAACTTTTGAACCTTAATTGTTACAAAGGAGGTTGCACTATTTTTGTTTAGAATTATAAGGACTATTACAAATTAATTTGGATCAAAACCAGCTTTTTTTCTAAAATCTGATAATTTGTTATTTTATGGCGTTTTCATGAGAAGTACAAATAACATAAGTTACAATAACTTTTGAACCGTACTTTTTACAGAAATGGGATCTGTACCATTTAGTTAAAATTTTTTAAGACCATAAAAAAAGACCATAATAAATTTTAATCAAAACCGGCCTCTATTCTGAAATCAATTTTTTTTGTTTTTAAGGCATTTTTATTGGAAAATGACATACCTAAGGTACAATAACTTTGGAACCATAATTTTTACGGAAATGGAATTTGTACAATTTTGTTTGGAGTTTAAAGGACTATGTACTAAAATTTCTATCAAAATCATTTGGGCCGTTTTTGAGCAAATCCAATTTTTCCTTTACTTGATGAGTTTTTATAGAAAACCAACATTAACAATAAAAATGTTAAAAAAAACACCCAGGAGATACCATGGATTAGTAGCTATTTCATCAAAATCAGATTTCAAGCTCTGTAAACATCCACACACACACACACACACACACAGATATTACTTTGAAAACCAATTTTTGGTTTTAGGGGCACCCACTATGGATATCTATATAATTAATACGCTACACGAAAGTTTGTCGGTTGAACTCCTCCGCCATTTCTTAACCGATTTTATCCATTGACGTCTCATTGGAAAGAGCGTGTCACGTAGATTTGCAAACTGACCTTACATTTTTGAAAAAGTCCCTTGGGCTCTGCCCCAGTGGCTTTAAAAGTTCCCATGTTATCCTTATGAAGAACATAATTGTTTACATTTTGATCAGCTGTATAATTTTATTGCTGTTATTTACATTTCAATTCAATGAAACACATTGAGTACATTTATTTACTATTTGAGTTTGTGTAAACATAACCCCCAAGACGGATCGTGTTAGTATGGTTGTATCTTAAATTTGTGTATTTATCGTTGTTTTGTGTCGCTATGATGGATTGTGTTAGCATGATTGTAACTTAAATTTGTGCATTTATCGTCGTTTTGTGTAGCTATAATTTGTTTATTATTTGTTGTTTATTTCTTTTAAATGTCTCCGACGCAACGACAACGAAACATAGACAGGAGGCGCAATCGTGATAACGACCGTAACTACAGAACAGTGGCGCGTAATAGGCTTAACTCATCAGCTTAACAGTCTGAACATGAACCTGGACAACTTCAACTATTTGGTTACAAATGCGCCCTTACACTACCTCAAAACGACTTTTCGTTCTCAATTGGCCCTCTATTAATGACCTGTGTTGCCTGTACAGCGAGGCATTTTGAGAAGGAGAGAACCGTCCGGAATGCTTTAGGTTTATCAATAACGAAGATAAACAGGGTCTGAGTTACACAACGGTAATATTTGAGTTGACTCTTTTAAATTCATTGTAAATATGACTGTAATTCAATCTGAAATAACTCCTGTAATACTTTGTAATTGCTCGAATTCGAGCAACATGTACACTAGTATCAACTTAAAACTCAAACTCGAACATTTTGACGAAACCAATACTTTCTCCATATAGGCTACTATGTATAGGGGAAGAAAGAAAAATTATAAAAATCTATATTTCCACCTTTCGATAACTTCCATCCAAATAAGTTACATACAAACGCATATCCTTAGGGTTTACATAGATATAGTAAGAACACCTTCAACACGCCAATTGGCTGGATAAGAATTGATACAATTTTCTCAAATGTCTATTGTAAATTCTGTTATATATAGATTAAATTCTGTTTTAAATAGCTCTGTTGTAAATTCAATAAGGACAATTTTGTGTGGTCTACTGTAGACACAGCATCTCTCATATTCTAATTCATCCTTGTGTGAAAAATATTACATAGTATGGTTAAAAATTAGATTCAAACTAAACAGGACCATATTATGCAGAGGGGCTCCTTTAAGCCGGGTTTTCCTAGGCGCGGAAGTGGAAAGCGGAGAGAGGAACGCGGAGAGCGGACTCCACTTCTCTTAGGTAATTTAATGTTACTGTTTTCCTAGAAACGGAGCGGAACACCATGTTAATTTTGATTCCGCTCTCCGCGTTCCTCTCTCCGCTCTCCGCTTCCGCGCCTAGGAAAACCCAGCTTTATGCTGATTTAACTGAATGATCTCGGCCCTTTTATTTTCGACGATCAGATAGGCAAATAAACCATTGAAACTAGGACCCTACCAAAAGCTTCCCACTCACGGGCAAGTATGTTCGAGAGACTATTGGCCAACATGCTCAGCGTTTCCAACATATGGTCGAGCATGCTCGCAAACATACTCGGTGATTCCAACAGACAATTGAGCATGCTAGTGAACATGCTCGCTGCCACCGCCCAGTGCTCTTGCTTCTCTTGCGCTGTGACAGTCAAGTTGTGTTTAAAATGGATGCTGACGCTGTGGTGATTATTTGCGGTGGGTTATTTGTGTGGAAGATGAGAAAAAACCACAAGCCACAAAAAGTATGTTGCAATAATTGGCTTGAAAACAGGCACAGATTCAGTCACATATCTCTGTTGGCTGAACTAGAATCACACGAAAATAATGATTATAAAAATTAATTGAGGATGACTGAACACTGTTTCGAAGACATTCTCAGACATTTTGTTGGGGCTTGGGCTCGCCGAGTCTTACGAGCCCAACATTCTCGCCGGTACGAAGGCTTGCAGACCCCATAGACAGGTGAGCATGTTCGCCGCCAACATGCTTGCCCGTTTAAGGGGGGCTTAATAAATGGTTCTATTTTATTTTCAAATGATACTATTAGGGTTGTGTGGGCCAGACTTGTTTACTTCAGATACTTCATATCAGGTTAAAATTTTTACCTGTAAATATTGTACCAATAATGGTTTGATTTTGAAAAAATTTTAGCCAAACCGAACCTAATATCTACCATTTTACAAAATCACTTCATCAAAACAAAAAATCTTCTGAAAATACTTACAGGACTACGAATTATTTCGCCATGCTGTTCCTTATTCTGCAAAATTTAAGATTAAATATAATAGTAAACCTGTTGAACCTTATTTTCTATATAATATACAGGTAAATCTACAAAAGGTAGACTAAAAGGCATAATAGATTAATTTATTGACATTTTAGTGTCATCAGTTTATATTTTTTGGCCATAAATTGCACTTTTAAAAAATAATAATGAAAATAAAGTTATTTATAATCTGAATTATTATATTTATTATAATTTAATAATATAATAATTAATTCATATCAACAATTTATCATAATAAAGGGTTGATATGTGATACCAAGAATACCGGTACCCAGTTTGTTTATCATGTATTCGTTTTCATAAACTTAAATAGAACTATATTCAGCTGTTAATAATGTTTACTTTTACAAAACTTTCTTTTATTATATAACCACTACTTTACGACAATTAATACCAAAAAGAATAATACGGTAACCAAATTTAACTTACATAATCCTCTGCACATATCCACACTCCCTGGAAAAAAACTTCCAATGCATTTAAAAGAAAAAACTTATACACTAGTAAAAGTTAATTCAAAACAATAATTATATTAGTAACATAAGCTTTTACCCTCTTGAACATGTAAACCATGAAAATTTAATTTTAAAATATGTCAATACTGTTCTGTAAAATACACCAACTCCCATCAAACCTACTGACTAGGCTGATTTCTAGTTCTAAATCTAATTCCTAATAGGGAAATCCATAGACCAATGGACACCTACTACGGTACTTATAAAATAATATTTCCTTAAAACTTAATTTCTTATTTAAAAAACATTAATTTTAGTGAGTACTTAGGTTTGCTGCTACAGGGAAGGTATTAAGGTTTGTCGTTTTATTAAAATGTTAATAGCTAAGTATGATATAAGCAAAATTGCCAAATTTGATTAAAATATATTGATAAACAAGCAAACTAAAACCGAATAACATGGGAATTTAAAATTTACAATTTTTAAAATTATCTCTGTAACCGTTTGGCATACAACGCTTCAATATATAACATTATTTTTTTGTTTAAGATCTACAAATAGGTTTGAAAGGAAATGATAAAATATTGTGTTTTTAGGGTCAAAAATGGGAAGATCTATTTTCATCCCATTAAACCCCCCATAAACCCCTGTTCGATTATGCTGTTTTGTGAACTCGTTCCAATGAAGGTAGGACACATTTTTATCAAATTTCATCAAAATAGGATAATATTTGCTTTAGTTCTACTTGAGGCCTACTCAAGATAATTAAATATCTAAAGGGAAAAGAACAAAGTTGTATCAAAATAGAAACAATTGATATTAAGAAAATAATTGATATTAAGTAGAAATAATTGATAAAATATTAGTTTTTTATTGTAGTATTTAAAAAAAAGTCTTAAATTCTTAAAAGACATGACGCAATCTATCTGACAATAGTCAGTCAAGGATTAAGAATACAAGTATTCAAAAATATTTTAAGTAAGTAAGTAAGTAATTTGGAAATATTAATTGAAATTCAGATTTTGATCAATCTTATCAATCTTACAAACTGGCTAGTCTATACGCTTAGGGTGATCGGCAGGTTTATCTGATGTCTTAACTGAATCTTTTTAAGCACAAAGTTATCTTTTACAGATAACATCATAAAGCTGGCTTATGACGACACTGGCTAATAAATACGTCATTTATTTATTTATTTTATTAATAATGTGTTGATTTAGGTTTGTTCTACTGAAGACTTCATTAGGCTATCAATTTTTTGGGGCTTTGGATGCATAATTGTTGGATTTTTGACCATGTCATCGCTCGTTTTTAGATGGCCAGGTGAATGTCTTTTCAAAACACTACGGTGCCACGAAACTCAATAAACCAGCGTCAATTTGCTTTTATCATCAAGTAGATTTAAATTTAGTTTAATAATCGATATAAACTCTGTGAACCACAGATTACACTCTGTGCCTTCTGTTGCGCCGTAAACATTGCACTGGCGTCTGGCATCAGGTGCATGAGTCCGTAGACAAAATGAATGAAATATAGACTGTCAGCCAAGCTGTGGTTACCACGGTTACCATAGGTTCTGGTGCACACCGCTGGGAGCGCCGTGTAGTTACGTAGCACGTACGCCGTAACTACATGGCGCTCCAGCAGTATGTGCCAGAACCTATGGTAACTGCAGCACGGCTGACTGTCTATATTTAATTCTTTTTGTCTATGGTGTGTCGCAATAGCAGCCTACCACCCCGCATCTGTTTTGCTCATGCTAAGGCCAAAGTTTCCTCCCTTGCTACACGGGCAGGTAGTATTAACCTAACAGCGGACACGGCAGTTGCCGGAGCCTTGGCCTAGGAGGGTGCCTCACTTGGTGCCGCAACTTTTTTTTTTTTAATAGAGGGCCAGGCTTTCGAGTGACCATAGGATTGCATCGCAGCTGGAACAGCTTATTGTGCACTGCGTTGATAAACGTACTTCACCAATAATCTGTGAAATAAAAGGGATCAATAATTTTGTATTTGCCCCTCCGACATTCACTAAGCGCAAATAGTGCTTCCAGCAGGAAATGTGGTATTTCAAAAACTAACAGACCAAGAGCCAACAAACATGAGTGTGACTAAATTGCATATGTTTGATAAAGACACATAAGATTATACTTTTTATGATAGTGGCACTTATCACCAGCCAGTGGCTCTTAAACTTCAATGTGATACATTATCTGCACACAGCAAATCTACTTACCTGCGGCAGAGGGGAAGGGTACATAGTGGTGTTCTGGAAGATAACGTTGTCAAGAGTTATTTCTCCGAGGATCTGGATTTTGGAGATGAACTTGAGAGGTACTCTGTGTTTGTAGGAGAGGTAGTGCTGACCATCCACAGCCACCTGACAGCAACACACCAATAGTCCAGTGAATAGAGGTATGTTAACTTACAAACGGTCCGGTAAGTCTAGCCTACACAACAATGCAAGGACAGCTGGGTCCAGTTTGAACATTTAAATGATTTGCCTTTTCTCAGGATTGACTGTTTAGCACTCAGCTACTCAACTTATAAACAAGGCTACAGCATTAGTGAAGTGGGTTGTCTGGGCCATTGGGGTAAATGGGCCATACATTTTTCAAGAAACCTGTCTGTGATTAATAGCTGCCATATATTATAATGTTGAATTTAATGTATACAACATTGTGGCGTACTCAGTTATTTGACTATTTTCTACACACTCAAAGTAAGTCCAGTTGATTTTAGCATTAGATTATAATACTCTTTATGGATATAACAAAGAGTAAAAGTCGAATTGCCAGCATGATTCATCATTCTGTTTTTTTTTTGTCTAGTTTGGGTGTTCCATTCCCCCAAGAAATATTTCATAACGGTGTATTTGGGCCAGGTAGTTGGGGTAAATGGGTCCAGGGTGGGCCCAGATATTATTAGTAAATATATAGGCTACAGGGTTTAAAAAAATAATGGTGGGGCTTTAACTGTCTGTGAAACTATTATAAGACAAATAAAATTTCATATTGGTACCCCTGCATCTGGTAGCTCAAACAGTTTTGTTTGTCTTAAATAAAACAGCTGTGTTGATTGTTGTGCTAATCGACGACAACCTACTTATTCATTTAAATAAACTTAAGTTGTATTTTCTTTACGAACATGTTTTCCCTCAAGAAAAGGCTAAGTGTGTGATGTTATTAAGTGAACTAAAGTCAATGACCCTAGTAAAACGGACATTTAGGATATGTCAAAAACATAGTTTATTCTCCGAAAATTCCAAATTTGGCCCATCTAATTGAATCAGAGATGCAGTTTCCATTGTAACAAGATAAATGTTGCACAACGTGGGGGTTGAAATAGATCATCGTCTGGGCGTATGTACAGCAAGAAATGGTGGCCATTTTGAAGTTTATTTGCTATGTATAAAATCTTGTTGATGTCAGGAATTCAACAAAATAAATAGTTTTTTTTTATCTTTTCTCGTTTTCTTTTTATTTCATCATTAAACCCCACTATTATTTTATGGAAACCCTGTATTATTAGTAACTTAATTCAGAAAATGAAGACTTTGAGGCTATGCAACAAACAGAAGAGTATCTGGCTCAAGAGCTCAGCTTATATCTAGGCTTTCACAATACACAAATTTCATACATAAGCTTAACATATTCTAAAACTGTGTGTTTTTCCCAGAAAATGGCGAGATCATATGTGAGAAAAACACAGAGATGAGCTGGCTTAATAGTCCAGTCAAAAAATAAAATTAATGATCCAACCTCCAAAAAAATCTTTAAGTTTTCAAATTTATTTGCACACATTTCTAGGTACCTAGGGAAGATTATACCAAAAGTCCCCATACTTATGAGGCTAGCTCTAGCGGCAATTAGCGAAAACAGGACAACCTTTTTGGTTTTTAGCTGAAATCTCGAGATCCGTTGGTCGGAGTTAAAAGTGGCTATGTATCAAATGAAAGACCATTAAATTTTAAATAAAAATGCCATATACACTTTTATTTTATTCCTAATGGTTGTAGGGCTTTAAATTATGGAGTTTTTTTTCTCAAACTGTCTGACTTAAGTTTGCACCATTGTTCACATTACCATTACCATTACCATTACCAACTGGCGATCGTTGACCAGATGTCTGGATTGATCTTGTCAAATAAAATTTACTTTTAAGAATTAATAAACTAATATTTACAGTATTTACACTACATGGCGGCCGGATTCAACTCAAAAGTCCATTGCACACCCCGATAGTTTGAGGAAAAATGCCCTATTTTAGCTCTGTAACCATTAGGAATAAAATAAAAGTGTAAATGGCATTTTTATTTAAAATTTAATGATCTTTCATTTGATATGTGGTCACTTTTAACTCTGACCAACGGTTATCAAGATTTTAGCCAAAAATCAATAAAGGTGCCCTGTTTTTGCCAATTGCCGCTAGAGCTCACCCACCTCATATTTGTTGGGACTTTTGGTATGCTCTTGCTATGTACAGTAAACCTTCGATAGTTCGACACTCCTTGTAGTTCGACACAGGCTGAGCTATTTCGTCAAGTGCTGATATTTAATGGTTACAATTGTGATGTAGGCTGACTTAAACATTAATTTGTCATATACTGTATTGTTGATTTGAGAATTAACTAATGAACAGTGAAATTGTTAAGTTTTTTTGTATTTAATACATTTGGATGATTTCTATATAAGACTTGTGTTTTACTCTCCTGTATATTGAACTCCATTTACTCCCTTTAGTTTGACATTTCGATAATTCAACATCACTTAAGTCCAAAAAATTTCAAACTATCGAGGTTCTACTGTACCTAGAAATAAGTGTGCAAAGTTTCAAGACTTTTGGATTTTTTGGAGGTTAAACCTTTTTTTTCTGGATTATAACGTATACCCATGAGAACTTAGAGAAGGCCATTGAAGATGTAAGAAATAGGAATAAAACCACTTGTGGAGCATTTTTACATTACACTTTTCCAAGATCTACCCTAAAACATCGTATTATTGGGACTCAGGGCAAAGGAAACACAACCAAAGATGGCAAGGGTGGCGGTGGGGTCCAGTATTTCTTGTCTGCTGCTGCTAAAAACTACTAACTACTAACTGTACTTCTGGGCGTAAAAACACATCCGTTCTGTTATGCTGTTTTGCTGATGGACAAATGTTCCCACCTCTTTATGTATTCAAAGGAAAACCTGTAAAGGAATATTGGCTGAACCAAAACAACATAAGAGTGAAAATTTAAAAACGTACGTTTTCAGGAAAAGCACTTTGCAAATTTTTTTCCCCTTTTTTCAAAACTTTTATTATTTTTTTTATTTCATTAACATTTGAAGTTTCATAAAATGTCTATGGTAATGCAATATCTTTGGTAGTTTTCTTTTTAAAGAGCATCTTTAGTAGAAAAACACAAAATCCTGTCACGACCATAACGGACGTTTAAATGAATATTAAAAATAGTTAATATTATTTTTATAACTATGTTTTGCTATAAAATAATTTACTTTTATGACCATTATACAATAAAAAGGTCACTGAGCTTTTGGTATATTTGGTCTTTCTAGAAAAAAATAAGAAAAACCCAAAAAATAGAAAAAAGCCAATAAAATCTTTTTAAGTTTGTATAACTCCGAAAAAAACTTACCTGAGACCCGAAAAATCGTTATGTTTGTATAGGGGTGTGCTTCTTTTGTGTATAAAACACTGAAATATGACGATATTTTAATTTTTGAAATTTTTATGATAGAAATCATAAACGTGATGGTCAGGGACAAGCGGTACGGTCGTGAATTGTCTGGAATAATCTAAATCTTTCTAAACAATCCTTCAATTATACTGTTAGTTATAATAAAACTATGTGTTTCAATTGAACTAAACTGTTCAATTTACAATTATATTAAAGTTATTGTCACGACCAAACACACTATAATCCATAAGGCTGGATTGGTCGTGAAAAAAACCGCGATGGTCGTGAAACTTTGGTTGTGAAATTACGTGTTATTTGGCTTTGTTCTGGCGGTAGCCCTGCACCTCATGTTCGAGGATACAAAGTGGACTTCTAGGTTAATCTAGCAATTGAAATATCTTATAAACAAAAATTAACACCATGTCTACTTCATCGAATGACTACGTATGGTCATGGACACACCAAAATTACAAAAAACACAATCTTTCCTTTATTAATCTTGTAACTCCTCCTTTCAACTCAAAACGACCGGCACTACAATCCTGACGTACACCCCGAACTAGTCTCTAAAACCAACTGACTCCATCGACGCCAGGCTTGCCACTGTCGTGCTCCAAAGTTGAAAATTTTTCCCAAATGGTTGTGACGCCAAATCGAGGGACAGACTTATTTTGTCATGGTAGTCAGTCTGCAATGACAATAAAATTATAATATGCTCCTTTTTTGTAAGTTTAATAACCATTGATGACATAAAAATATGGCTTTATATATTTCGGCATGAATAATTAGTCTAAAACAGCGTGAAAGTTGGAAAATGTACCCTAGGGACATGTCATGGTCGTGAATTTCGGGACTTTAAAAATACGAAAAAATACCTAGAACCTATTCAAAACCAAATAAATGTGTGTAACATGTTGCCCCCGTCCCAAAAATATTAAAACACATAATAATAAACTACAAATCCAGTATCTACGAAGTAAAAGGCCAGGGACATGAAAACGTACGTTTTTAAATTTTCACTCATAACACAAACTGCAAATATTAGTAACCTCCTGAGGGTGGATGGAAACATCCTTATTTTTCAACTGGTTCTGTGATGTTTTTATGAATATAGGCGAGGAGAGGCCTGTGCTCCTTATCTATGATGGGCACACAACTCATATGTAGACCAATTTGATAAGATCAGCCATTGAAAATCAAGTGACCATTATGAAGTTGCCCCTTGACACACTACACATGTCTTGTAGCCATTGGACGTCGCCGTTTTTAAAGGCCTTAAAACAAACTGGAACAAAGGAGCTGTTCAAGTGGTAGATAGCCAATCCACGTAAGAAAATACCTAAAACTGAGTTTGTGGCTCATATAATAAACTTAGCCAAAGATTTGCCTTCATTATACATTATGAATGGATTCAAGACCACAGGCATCTATTAAAATGAGGAGAGAACCCAACAGACAGTGAATTTTGTAAAGCATATTCAAGAAGACCGGTTAAGATATGTATAAAAAAATCTCCCAAATCCTAATGCAGCACCAGAAGAAGAAGCCTGTCCAACTATAACTAAAACATAACTAAAACACACACACTGTGTGAAGTATAACTAAAACAGTGGGAGCAAAAGTACCGACTACCCCAATAGAGATAGTGGAGGTAACTACCATGACTGTGGCAGTAGAAGTGGACGTAAAAACTACCCCATCAGTGGCAGTGCCAGCTGGAACAGCCCAAGCCAATGCTGCAGAACTTAAGGTGGCAAGTACATCAATGCCTGTTGGTGATAATCCTAAGAGTTTTGAGGAACTATGGGTAGACTCATTGAAGAAAAAAAAAAACAGATACGTCTGAGAAAAAACAAAAAAGCATTGTAACGTAACTAACTGTAAAATGATCACTACACAGAAATATTTGGTGATTTAAAGAGGAAGAAGAGAAAGAAAAAGAAGAAATGGCAAAAAGAAAAAAAAACTCAATCAAGAAGCAAAACAAGAATCACAACCAAAGATGGCAAGGGTGGCAGTAGGGTCCAGTATTTCTTGTCTGCTGCTACTAAAAACTACTAACTACTAACTGTACTTCTGGGCTTCTGTAGAATCAAGAGGCAAAGTAGGTAAATTTAAAAACTGTAAATAAAATTGATCCTCTAACAAAGAAGGCAAAAAAAGGAAAAAACATGAATACCCATATGTTAACTGACAAAAGTGAAACGTTCTATGTACAAGACAGTGACTCTGACCTGGAATTAAGTTCCGAAGAAGAAAAATATCTAAATTGTGTTCACATCTGTGTTGACATCAGTTTTTTTTTTATTTGGCCCAAGTGTGCGTGTGTTTGGGTGTACAGGGTCGACTTACATCTTCAATAAAATTAATAAAATAAAATTTAATTTAATGTTTGTAGTTTTTTTTTTTATAAAACTCGTATACATGTGTGTCCAGTGTCCACTTGCCCCAAATACAAGTGTGACATACCAATGCATGGTGGTTCAGTTACCCCTTTTTCTTGGGGTAAATGGGCCCATTGGTTAAATTAATTTATTATTATTAAATATAACAAATTAAATGTTTTACTAGCATATTTGTAAAGCCTACGTACTTTATTGTATAGCAAAAATTATTGCACTTTCTTATTAAATGTTTGTATGGTTTCCAGAAACATTAAACATAAAAAATTGGCCTTAAGGCAAAAAAAATCCCAAATACCCTGCTGCACAAATATATAATACTATGGATGGAGCTTTAAGGAATGTGGAAACTCAGTGGCAGTTCTAGGACCTTGTCAAGGGGGAGGCAAAAAGGGAGTGTCGGAGACTAGGAGGGGGGTTTGGGTTGGGGGTCCTCTTCTTGAAAATTTGCTATTTTAAAGCCATTTTCAATGTCTTGTACTGTGTCTAAAACCCTCGATGAATTTTTATGACAAAATGTATGTTTAGTTTTAGTTTTCCACAGTCCAATCTGAAAACCAAAAAATAAATTCAGGGTAGGGAGGGGGGTCAGCCCCTATAACATGCCCCCTTGGAACCGCCACTGAGGAATCTGGAAATAATAAGTTACGCTACCTTCTACATATTAAACTGTCCAGCAACAAAAGATAAGTTTTGAACCAAGATATAGTGTACCTATGGGAAGTATGTACACTAAGTTGGTCAAACAAGAAGCCTGTATTAAAGGAGCAAGTATGTTGCTTTGAAAACCCGTTTGGCGTATATACAACTAATTTAATCCAACAGACCACAAAACCTTTTGTTCCTACTTTGATAAATACATATTTTTGAAGTACTGTACCATTTTCACAATGAAAACAGTAGAATAATCAATGCTTATTATTATTTAACTGTAAAATTTACCCATTAATTTATTTTTAAGAATGCTTGCTACTTTTGACCAATCGAGACTAACCTTAAACTCGTCTTCGGTGATGTAGAATTCGAGGTAGAAAGGCTGACCTCGAAGGAACGGAAACTTTTCTTGAGCTGTTTTATAATGGCTATAAGTGCCTCCTAGACGGGTGTCACAATCCGTGATGTTGGTCATATTTTGAGAGTCTGGCTCATAAAACCTTGGACTAAAGTGGAATGCAATATCAGGCTGCTTTTCTTCAAAAATGGTATTCAAGCTAGATATACCAACAAACTTCTTCATTTTCTTTGTATAGTCTTCTGTACAAGGAGATGCAACCAAGAAGTCCACTACAAAATTCCTGGAAAGACTGGATGGCCAAGGAGCAGGAAACCGAGAAAAAAATTGTTTTGATATCAGTTCAAATTGTTATTACTAATGGTTTTATTTTAAATACAGTAAAACCTCTCACTAACTCGGCACTTTTTTTAACTAGAGGTTGTACAAGTCTGAGGTTTGTCGAGTTACCCATGGGTGAGGTTCATAACTCTGTTAAACTGAAACCAAGTACTTTAAAATACAAAATTGCATAACCCCAAGCTTAAAGATTTCCAAGTAAACTGATACAAATTAATACCGATACAATTATATTAATATTGATACAAATTAATTATCACCAAGGATAAATACAACAGCAAACCTACAGTTCCTGACTACAACACAGCATTCCAGGACTTGATCAGCGACTTCAAGCAAAGAGGTTTTGAAAAATTGATTTGCTCTGTCATGGGGTGTGTTCGTGATAAAATATCCATAGAAGTCTTTACATCTAACATTATCAACTTTTGCCATCTTACTGGAGCCTCTGTGGATATTGTAACTTATCACCAAAAGTCATCTCGTTCTCTTTGGAATGGTCTTGAGTATGATGAGTTTAATGCTAACTTGAAGCTCAGCATTTTATCTAAATATCTAAAAGACCAAGCAGCACCTGAACCTCTATGTCCCAATCAACCTCTGACCAGCTCGTCTCAGCCTATGCCAACACCACAGACCACTCAGGATGTACAGGAGGTCACCAACCCACTCGCCAACCACCGGCAGATGTCAAGCAGAAGGGAGGAAGTACATGTGTCTAGTGAAAGTGTGAAAAATCATGGCCATTATAGTGATAGTGAAGTGTGCACCCCAACCTTAACATTAAGTTTAAACTAAGTAATAGCGACAATGAAAATGTTTCAGCATGTAAAAATAACTTTGCAGATATTAATGTAAATGTTACACATCAAGTCCTTGATAATCAAGATTATTCTTTTGCAAATCATAATCTTAAGCAGCTTGCTAAATATTACAATCATGTTTCTACAAACAAAACTAACCATAATAATTATAAATCAGATATTACAAAGAAAAAAAACCGCATTGAATCTCAACCTCTGAAAATTCTGCATCAAAATGTTCAACACCTCTCATCTCGCCTTAATATATTAAAGATAAATTTGGATGAAATTCAGCCAGATTTAGTAGCACTATCAGAACATAAAATGGTTGAATCAGAAATTATGTCTCTTAACATTGTAAACTATAACAAATGCTCTTACTTTTCAAGAAAAAATTCAATGGGAGGAGGGGTGCTAATATTAGTAAGCAAAGCTATTAAAAGTAAAAGTATAAAAATAAAAGCAATCCAGGATCTTATAGAGGAAAAAGAATTTGAGTGTTGTTTATCTTTAATCACTGAAAATCAATTTTCTTTTATTTTAGTATGTTTATATAGATCTCCAATTCACTGTCTAACTGAGATATTTTTAGAAAAATTTGATTTGATGTGTAGCATATTGAGTAGTAGATTTAAAAATATTGTCATAGCTGGAGACTTTAATATTAATGTTCTAAACAAAGATAAAACATATTATTTATTTAGGAATATCTTAAAATCACATAATTTGGAGTATAAAGTAGACTTTCCAACAAGAATAGCATCTGAATCAGAAACTGCTATAGATAATATCATTACTAATATTGAATGCAAAAAAACCATAGCATATGGTATTTTAACATGTATTTCTGACCATGATGGCCAATTATTCGAGGTATATGGAATAAAAAGTAAAATTAAGAGTATAAATAAAGTGTTTAGAAGGAGCTTTTCTGAGACTAATATAAATTCATTTTTAACACTATTAGCTAAAGAAGATTGGTCTGAAGTATATCAAGCCACTGTAGAAACTAAGTATGATGTTTTTATTTCGATCTTTGTACATGCCTTTGAAACTAGTTTCCCTAAAATGTTCCAAGTAGAAAAAACTACTACTTCTAATTCATGGATTTCCAATGACATTAAAATGAAGAAAGAAAATTTAGTGAACTTAGAAAAACAATATAGAACACTAAAATCTGAGTCTCTAAAAAATAAAATCAAACAATTAAAAAAAGAATTAAAAATTCTGATGATAGACAATAAAAAACAATACTTCAATGACAAAATAACAAAATCCACAAATAAATCGAAATCAATTTGGAAAATTATTAATTCTGAAGTAAATACTAAGACAAAGCCTGGTAAAAATTTGAAAATTTTGTTCAACGACAAAATTGAATCAAACCCAACTTACGTAGGTAATATTCTGAACAACTTTTTTATTAATGTGGTTGATGACCTTGTTCTTCCAAACATTAATAAAAATACTATAAGTATTGAATCTAACCTTAGAAAACCACCCCAACCAACCTGCAGCTTCAAATTTAGAGAAGTTGATGAAAGGCTAATAGAAAAGATAGTTAAGTCATTAGATAATAAATTCTCAACAGGGATGGATGACATACCAGTTACCATTGTTAAACATGCTTTTCCTCTTATATCAAAACCATTAACTCATATCATAAATTCCTCTTTAATTTGCCGTATCTTTCCTCATAAATTAAAAGTTGCCAAAATAGTACCAGTCTATAAAAAGGGGGATGAATATGATCCCACAAGTTATAGACCAATCTCGTTATTGCCTGTGTTTTCAAAAATTTATGAAAAAGTAGTATATAACCAGCTTTTAACCTTCCTTGAATCAAACAATTTGTTGGATCCCGAGCAACATGGCTTCCGACAGGGAAAATCTACGATAACTGCAGGTATTGATTTTATTGAATCAATAATTGACTCCATTGACAGAAATGAGAAGGTAATTGGAATTTTTCTCGACTTTTCAAAAGCATTTGACTCTGTTTCACATAAGAAATTGATAGAAATTCTTTACGGCTTAAATATAAATAATAAAGAGCTTAAGTGGTTCAGTTCATACTTGCAAGGAAGGCAACAATGTGTCCAAATACAGCATAATTTCTGCCACCCAAATAATAAATACTCTTATACTCAAAATATTTACTCTGAATACAAAAATATTAAATATGGTGTCCCCCAGGGATCTATTTTGGGCCCTCTTTTATTTCTTTGTTATATAAGGGGGTTCCCACTAGCTGTCGATGGAGGAAGTCCAGTGTGTCTTTATGCTGATGACACCAACATCACAGTTACAGGCAATTCCCAAGAGGAAGTCGAACTAAAATCTTTTCTAAATCTTTTATCAATTAATGATTTCTCAAGTAGCAAAAATCTCCTAATAAATTACAGTAAATCAAATTTTATATCATTCTCCACAAAACAATCAAGATGTAAATTGAACCCGAATATTTACCTTGATAATTCAAACTTGAGTCAAGTGGAGTATACAAAATTTCTCGGATTGATATTGGATCAAAACCTAAATTGGGATAAGCATGTTGAGCATGTAATTGACAAAATGTCAAAAGGTAGATATGCCCTGCGACAAATGTCAAGGGTGTGTGATATTGATACTTTAAAAACCATATACTTTGCATTAATAAATTCTCACATATCCTATGGTATAGCAATTTATGGAGGAACTACCCAGAAAAATTTGGATAAAATTCTTCATCATCAAAAAAAAGCACTCCGAATTATTTTCAAAATTAAAAATAAACACCAATCAATGAAACCGTTCTTTTCTAAATTAGGTGTTATGACAGTCTATGACTTGTATATTTATGAAACTATATTACATGTAAAAAAATTAAACCTCCAAACTAATAGTACAAATATTCAACACTATAAATTAAGGCATACTAGGCAGGTTCAACGACATAAATTAAAGTTTTTTGAGAAGAAATGTAGTTTCATTGGCATCAAATTCTTATTTAATTTACCTAAAGTTATAATAGAGGAAAAAAGTTTTGACGTTTTTAAAAAAAGATTGAAAGATTATCTCCTTTCATTGTCTTTGTATTCTTTGGATGAATTTTGGAATTCAAGAGAAATCATACATGATAGTTAGAAAGATGATTTGATTTAATTTTGTTTTGTTTATTCTTCTTAAGCTTAAAATTTGTTTTGAAAAGATAATGATTGTTTTAGCATTAAGTAAAGCATAATTCATCTTTATATTTATTTGACGCTATTCATTGTATAAAAACTTGTACTGTGAATGAATAAAGAGAATTTGAATTGAATTGAATTGAACCGAGATATTATACAGGGGTGCCCACAGGGGGGGGGACTGCGTCATTGAAATTCTTGGGGGGGGGGGGGTTGCAAAAAATTCTAATGGGGGGGGGGCTAAAGTTAATTGCAACAGTGTTCAACGTGACGACAATCAAAAAAATATTATGAAGTCACCAGATAGAAAGTCGATTAATTAATGATAATAGATATATTATTGAATTCAATTAGTTAAAATAGGATTTTAGGATGGTTTATAGGATTCGTTAAGGAAGTTATTATTCAAGATTAGCAAGACGTGAGATCTAAGAGGGAGGGCACGGAATGGCTCAACTGCTGTGATAGATAAAGATAACGCGTGGTACAGACATGTCCAGCTACACCGCGACTCAGCACAGAACGCTTTGTTGACATAAAGCTCGTTAAAATACAATCAAGAAGCATAGACTACAATACTTTACACTATTGTGTAGATACTCGATTACCTGAGACCTGAGTTAATAGGCAGGGGGGTCGAAAAATACAGTTAATCCAATATAGTATAAAAACAGATAACAAACCCATTAAAACGCTGTAAGCAGCCATTATCGTCACGATTTGCATTTTTATAAACGAAATTTAATATTGCACAATCATTATTATTGTGCAGTAACATTTTTATTGTACATTTCAAATCATTTATCTAGGTTCAATTGTACAAACGAGTTAGCGTAGCGAACGAGCTAACCTGAGGGCAAGTGAGCGCAGCGAACGAGCTCCAACCTAAAGGTGAGTGAGCGTAGCGAACGAACTTCAACCAGGACGTGATTGAGCCATGCGAACGAGCTCATCTTGAAAATGAACGAGCATGTGACATAAAA